GCTCAATACTTCCAAGAAAAAAAGAAAGAAGAGCGATAGCTGGAGGGACTGAATACCAGCCAGCGCACCCAAATCCCACGGCGGTGGAAATTTCTTCTGCGACGCTTTTGAGGTGTCATCATACAAGGCGCGCGCTATGGCCATGAATCCACGGAGAGGATGCTCCAGCGACTTCTTCTTCCGGTCGTTTTTTGCGACTAGATGCATCCGCTTCACATGACTCGCGAGCGAGATGGCATGCTTGAGGCTCTTGTAAGGGCAAAGAGCACAATGCCACACCTTCCCAGGGACACAATTCCCCTGCCGCCGAAGTGTCATCTGACGCTGTTGGTCCTCCCGGTATGCTTGCCAGCAGAAATCGCTGTAACGCTGTGCCTCTCTTGTAACTGCTTCACAGAACAACACATCAGCCCCGTCGCTTGTCGCTACACGCGTGAGAAACTGGCCAGCCTTAGCGGAAATATTTGCACCAAGACGAATCCCTACAAACTGCGCAGGACCCGCCGCGACAGTCAGCGCCGCGCCCTCTGGTGGCTGCAACAGCCCAACTTCTTCAGCAACCTCTGGCGGGCACAAGCTTGGGGGTGTGCTCACGCGCGACCCCTTTCGTTTGCGTTTCCCCGTCTTCTTCTTCTTCTTCTTCATCAGGCGGATTTTGTCCGTCTGTTCTTCTTCTGAAGACGCCTCGACGTCTTCCCCGCTTTCCGAGGCATCCCTCTTGCGCTGTGAGGGCCCGCCTTCTGTCTCTGCCACCTCCTTTTTGCAGTGCGGTTCTGCAAGCTCAACCAACGAAGAGCCTCCCGCCTCTGCTTCGTCGATGCTGTCTACCCTCTCACCGAAGACGAGGCTGATCTCGTTCCCGATCTTACGAAGAGCATCCACAAAAGAGCGAACTGCCGCCACTGAGTTGTCATTGCAGAAATACCAGACACCCTCGCGCCGCACTACTGCAACGTAATGCCCGCTCTCGACATAGCGGCCGACATGACGCACGAGGCCCGTCACCCTGAACGTCGCACCCCCTAAAGTGAAGAACTCACTTGGCACATTGATGGGCGTGACCATTTTCATCCCGTTCAGCGCCTGCCGCGGTTGAATCTCGATATCGCACGCCTTTGTGCTTAGACCATCACCAGGAAGCGAGTGGCTATTCTTGAACTGTACGTGTCGACTGAACTGGCCGCAAGGCTGCGAACCTGGTGCGCCACTGTCTTCAGAACATGTCACATCTGGCGCCGTGTTGCCTTGTTTGTCCAGGAGCTTCTGGAGGGACAAGCCCCGCAGAGGAAGGCCCTCAGTCCCAGCCGTGGCCATCGGATGAGGATCCGAACAAGTTCGACACACTCCACCACAACGCCGGCACGGGTTTACTCGTTCCGTTTCTGTCATCACCATGGTCACGGTGCCACCAAATTCGTCCAAAAGACGCCCGCAAAGCTCTCCCGATGAATGCTCGAACCTTTTCCCAAAATCAGCCTCATACCGTGGCCCCCAAGGAGCGTCACTGCTGAAAGATTAGGGCCAAGCCGATAGCACAGGCGAGAAGCAGACGAGACCCGTCAGAGAAAGGAAGAAACATAGAAAGGGGCCGGCGCCTAGGGTGTTGGCGCCAGTTCTAAGACCGAGCGCAGTCCAAAGGCTAAACCTCATTGCTCAACTTTATGAAGCCCGTCAGCGTAGCAAGTTCAATCATTCAGCCACGACGCTCTTCGTATTCAATCACATCAATACCGAGGCCATGGCTATGGCGCTAATTCTACTAAAGTCATAGACTAGATCTCAAATAGTCGACACTGAAAAACGAGGGGAGCGCCAGGCAGTAACCAACAAGCCGGCGCGCGCACGCTCACGTCTTTCGTTTTCCCTTGAAATAACAACGACGACACCGGAGCCATAATTAACTATCCGCAGGAAAGAGCTGCAAAGGCTCCAAACCGAGGCCACTCTGCCTCATTGTCCTCAACACATCCGCCAGCCAAGAGCGCGGGCAGCTCCTCAACGTTTCCGCAGCAATTAGAAAGGCCCACCCCTGAAAAAAAGACACAGACCACAGCGACGAGCCCCCAAAAGGCTAACCCCCAAGCAAGATGGAAACTACTGCAAAGATTTCAGAGCTAGGCCATCCTTACCCATAAGGCAAGAGGCTGACACGTCTGCCAGCACTGAATGACAGCGTGCGCGAAGCATCTGGTCTGCGCAGTAAATGTCTTGCGCTTGTCGCCGTTCCTACTCTCACCACCGAAGACATAGACTGGATTCACGAGGCCACGCGGAACCACTACCGCCGCGGGGCTTAAGCCTTGCGCCATTGTCTCCTTTTTGCTTTTCTTCTTTTCTGTTTTGAAAGAGCGAGGCGGCGATCTCGAGGCAAATCGACCCCCTGACGTCTCGCCAAGCCACTAGCTTCGCGAGGCGAATCCGGTTGCTTCTCGCAAAGCCCCTAGGGTAGGTAGTAGGCAAGAGGCAAACTCGTCAGAGCCGGCTGTCGCAAGTCCACTAGTAGCCAAGAGGCAAACTCATCGGAGCCAGCTGTCGCAACGCCACTAGTAAGGAAGAGGCAAACCCGTCGGAGCCGGCTGTCGCAAAGCCACTAGTAAGGAAGAGGCAAACCCGTCGGGCAGGCCAGCTGCCGCGAAGCCGCTAGTAGCTAGGAGCCGTTGGCTCGCAACACCTCAAAGACGCCGCTTCGCAAACCCGTCCGAAGCCGTTGCTTCGCAACACCTCAAAGCCGCTGCTTCGCAAAGCCGTCCGAGCGTTGCTCCGCAAAATCTCAAATGCGCCGCTTCGCAAAACCGTTCGAAGCCGTTGCTTCGCAACACCTCAAAGCTGCCGCTTCGCAAAATCGTCCGAAGCTGATGCTTCGCAACGCCTCCAAGCTAAATCCGTTGTCGTCGTTGGAATGAATTGCGCTTATCTGTTAGCGGTTCTGCGGTTCTCCCTCAGATGCTGCTTGGGATGCTGAATTATCTGCCGCCGTGCTATCCCGTGGCCAGCTGCAAGACAAGACGTCACCCCAAGACGTAGCAGGGAGAATTGCAGCCGGCCTTAACGCTTGCCGCGCAACCGCCTGAAGCTGTTTGCTGTTTCGCAAAACTTTTGAGAAGCCGCTTTTTCGCAAAGCCACAAAGCCGCTGCTTGCTTCGCAACACCTCCGAAAGGCCGTTACTCGCAAAACCACAAATCCGGCACTTGCTTCGCAAAACCTCAAGCCGCTGCTTATTTCGCAAAACCGTCCGAAGCCGTTGCTTCGCAAAACCGTTCGAAGCCGATGCTTCGCAAAACCGTTCGAAGCCGATGCTTCGCAAAACCGTCCGAAGCCGTTGCTTCGCAAAACCACAAAGCCGCTGCTTCTTCGCAAAGCTGTCAGAAGCCAATGCTTCGCAAAATCGATCGAAGCCGTTGCTTCACAAAATCGATCGAAGCCGTTGCTTCGCGCAACCGTTCGAAGCCGTTGCTTCGCAAAACCACAAAGCCGCTGCTTGTTTCGCAAAACCACTAGGCCAGCTTTTTCCGTTTGACTTCGAATGGGTTTCCTGTTAGTGCTACTGCGATTCTCCCTTGTGTGCTGCTTGGGGTGAATCTTCCGTCGTGCTCTCCCGTGGCCGGCTGCAAAGATGTCACCCCAAGACTCGATAGGGAGAATCGCAACCGACCGTAACGCTGCTGCGGCCGTGGTCTGGGTGTCGTGTACTACGGTCGAACGCAGGAAGAAGAAGCTGCTGCTGCAGGTCCACTACTCTACTAGAAGATAGAGGCCACGTAAACACGCGCGGAAAAGGGGAAAGCTGCTTATCGGAGAAGTAGAGCTTGACGTAGAAGCACTGCTTGCTGACCGGGCCGCACTGTCTTCGTTAGCTAACCGCTTTACTAGAGGTCGCCGAGAGAAAAAAAAGTTTTACGCTTTTACTCCAGCGGCAGTCTTCGCCAGTCCGCGTAGCGCACCCACGCAAGAAGACTGAATGCTGCTTCTGGGCACCCACGTCACCAAGAAGAAGATAGATAACGCAAGCGAGCGCTTTCCGTCAGTTAGCCAGCGCGCTCCTTCTGCTTATCTTGTTCTTCGTGTATCTATCGTATGTCGCTGATAATATTGCTATCTATCCTTATGTTGTTGGTTTTTTATTTTTTAAAGACACGAGACTAGTGTAGTTGTATCGTGCTATTCAACTGTGGCAGTTGTTCGTCGTTGCCATCGTTTTACTGTGCCGAATGATCGGAGTCGGATTCGGTTCTCGGCTGTTGCACCAATGTAACCAAGATTGACTGTTCTCTCCACGCAACAACTGCCATCCATGTTTTTGAGATTGCGTGAGCACTTGAGTACTTTGCTCAAGTTGTAGCCAAGTTTCAGGAAACTTACTCACTTTGTTGCTTACGTGTTGCTTACTTGCATATACGTGAAAACGTAGTTACAATCTAGCTCAAAACAAACGTAGACTACATCGTCGAAGGATGGCCATAGGTTGAGAATCGTTCAAGAGTCTCAGTCTTGTTTTGTCGTGCTTCTTTTTTGTGCTTGTACTTACGTGCGCACCGTTCTTACGTTCTGAACTGAACTTGCGCGCTCTCGCTGACAAACGTCTAAACTCATGCGGAGTTCTGTCATACATGACCGATTTCAGGCTTCGCACTTGGACCTTTACAACGTGCCAGCTCTCTTGACAACTCTTGACTGTCGGTTCTGGTTACGCATATACGTGACAACGTAGTTGCAATCTATCTCAAAACAAAACTAGACTACATCGTCGAAGGATGGCCATAGGTTGAGAATCGTTCAAGAGTCTCAGCCTTGTTTTGTCGTGCTTCTTTGTTGCGCTTGTACTTACGTGCGCGCCGTTCTTACGTTCTGAACTGAACTTGCTTACTCACGCTGACAAACGTCTAAACTCATGCGAAGTTCTGCCATACATGACCGACCTCAGACTTCCCACTTGGACCTTCACAGCCTGCCAGTTCTCTTGACAGCTCCTGGCTGTCAGTTCTGCCTACAGCTAAGAGGCACGCGTGGACTTTTACGCTCAGACAGGCTGGTGCGCAAGATGCTCCCCTTCGTTGTGCTTCTCTTGATCTTGATCCTTTGAACTAATTATATGCAGAAGCCTGCTGACTATTTTTTGAAAAAGGTGCGACGTAGATTATCAAGGGTCCACAGATCTATCAAGGGCCCGCGGATCTATCAAGGATCCACGGATCTATCAAAGAAAGATCCGCGGAGCGATCGAAGATCCGCGGATCTATCAAGGATCCACAGATCTACATCTATCAAGGGCGCGCTGATCTATCAAGGACCCACGGATCTATCAAAGAAAGATCCGTGGAGCGATCGAAGATCCACGGATCTATCAAGGAAAGACCAGCGGAGCGATCGAAGATCCGCGGATCTATCAAGGATCCACAGCTCTACCAAGGATCCTCGGATCTATCAAGGATCCACGGATCTATCAAGGATCCGCGGATCTATCAACGATCCACGGATCTATCCAAGAAAGATCCGCGGAGTGGTCGCAGATGAGGCCCGCGGATCTATCAAGGATCCCCAGATCTATCAACGATCCACGGATCTATCAAAGGAAGATCCGTGGAGCGATCGAAGGTCCGCGGATCTATCAAGGATCCACAGATCTACATCTATCAAGGGCGCGCGGATCTATCAAGGTCCCACGGATCTATCGAAGAAAGATCAAGATCCACGGATCTATCAAGGAAAGACCAGCGGAGCGATCGAAGATCCGCGGATCTATCAAGGATCCACAGCTCTACCAAGGATCCTCGGATCTATCAAGGATCCACGGATCTATCAAGGATCCACGGATCTATCAAGGATCACCGGATCTATCAGAGAAAGATCCGCGGAGCGATCGAAGATCCACGGATCTATCAAGGATCCGATCCACAGATCTATCAAGGACTCACGGATCTATCAAGGGTCCACGGATCTATCAAAGCAAGATCCGTGGAGCGGTCGAAGGTCCACGGATCTATCAAGGATCCACAGATCTAGACTCGTCAAAATCAGGCCCCTCCTGCCCGTTGTTGCGTGCTGCGTGACGCTTGAAATTGAGGGCAGATATTTCATCCCCCCCGAAGCTCTGGGCGTGACGCGGTGGGCGTCACGCGTCACGAAACAGCTCTACGGCGTTCAGTAAGTCCCACGGATTCTCCCAGGTGTCGACGGGCACCAGGAAGTAGTCGACTCCGCAATTTTCACGACAGAGGGCACGTCCCAACGGCTGCGAGAACGAGTAACGGAGGCGTCGCGTGCCTCGAACAATAGTCCGTTTCGTGGGGCTTCGGATGAGCAAACGGCGGTCCTGCAGCGTCGCGTTGAAGCCGATCGCATCGCGGTCTACCACCTTGCGCCGAAAGACGATGTTTCGCAGAAGTGGAAGCTTCAGTATCTGAATCAAAAAGCCGCGATGTCTGCGGATGGCTGGGTTCATGCCGTAGGTTATAAACAGGTGTTCCAGAGTTCCGGTCGGCAACAAGCTTTGCCCTGTCGAGGGGTACACGGACCGCAGCCAGCTGCCAAGGGCAGCGGACGACTGATCTTTCTCCAGAGGAATTTCGAATTCACAGCCTGGCTTTGTATTCAGTGATGGTCCGCTTTCTGCGCCCGAGAAGACGAAACAGGAACTCGAGATAGGAGACATTACTACACACGGAACCTGCGGGTGGGTTGCAAACGACCGGTTCCGTATGTAATACCATCCGCCCGATTTTGCCTGCAAGCCAGATTTGAGCTGCTCCACAACCGAGTGGCGCTGAGAAATCATTGTGGATCGGATCTGAATCGGACTCCACATGCCGTCGAAGGGTGTTAGGAACTCCTTGTCGCGCCTCCGAATCAAAAGCGGAAACAGAGAATACCGTGGCAGCTCGTACACCTCGAATTCCGGAGCCGCGCTCTGTGCTAGACGTACGAACCACTGGACACCCTGTGCTTGCTTCACACGCCGATTGTCGACCTGAGTCTCAGACTCGCACTCTCTCCATGCCGTCAATGCGGAGTCTCGCTGTTGGGAAACGGAAATTCCCGAGCTCTGCGCCCGTAACTGCGTCGTCGGACCTGCCCTGCGAACGATGTTCGAAGAGGTCATGCGGAAAAGTATCATGATTCTTTTGCAACCGGTCTATTGCCAACAGATTTTTAGTTCTACTTACGTAATAAACGATCCATTGATCGGCCTAAAGAGTACAGGTCATTCTAGACGTTATCAACATTTCACCTTTCATCAACACCGTTTTACTTGTTATCCACACAACTATTTTGGATCTTTGTACGCGCTAGGTAACAACTCATCGATGCGCCTTCTGCACTATCTTTTTGCGGATGTAGTAGTACGGCTTGCATTAGCGTGAGATCATCTACTTGTAGGACCACCATCAGTAGCCGCGAAGAGGTGCTGAATAAGCCTTTTAATAAGCTCTCTGCCGACTTCCCCCTGCTCCTCAGAGAATCGCAATTCCCGACCACGCTGGCTCCGTCATATGCCGAGACCCGCATTGTTCACGCGTTGCAGCAATTGATGAAGCTATATTCTGACTCCCCGTGCCACTGGAATTCTTAAATGGTCTATACTATCCAAATCTACTTCTACTTGTGATTCTTCTTTATCACCTGTGTCTTTTTCACATGTGTTGAAAAAGCTACTCAGGTTCGTCATCCATGATAACCCAGTCTGAAATTTGCGGGACAACCAAGATGAGTCCTTAGTTGGAATCTCTGTCGATAAAAATGTATATGATTCACTTTCAACCGAACCTTCATCATGATTAGTATTTATTAGAGGTCGTCTTATTTGTGAGACGATTCATCAACCCAGCCCCAAGACCCCTCTTCCGCAGATCCTTTTGTTCCAATGTCCTCAACAACCTCGCCTTCTCTGACAAGATTTCTTCTTCCGTGTTGCCCACCTTCTCTACCGGAATCGGTTTCATTCCTGGCAAAACCGGTGCAACATCTTCGCAGTTCATCAAGGACTTGTCACTCTTCAATCGGTCTAGCGCCGACTCCTCGAGCTGTCGTCGCCGTTCGTGCCATAGGTAATGGAGTCTGCCGGCTAGAATGCCAGTAGCGACTGCGTGGACGCCGAAAGTACGAAGACGTGCTACGCGGAAGGCGATGTCGGCACTAGGATGTGTTTCTTGTGAGGCGGATGTTATGCGTGGGACGTTTCGGAGTCGGCATGGCAAATGCGACAATTCACGTATTTTTCAAAGAGTTGTGACGTGAGTCTTTGACTGTACCCCGTCGTCCCAAACTGAGAAAATTTTCTTTACATATCTAACAAAGCTGCTCTTATGCTTCTCATCCTTGACCACGGAATCGATTTCAGAAAAGAAATAGAAATATTGGTCAAAGCCTTTGAAATCGCCAGAGATATTGTGCTGGCCATCGACAACCAGTACAGGTTTGCGCTTTGTAACAGTGTTAGTGTCGCTGCAAAGCAAATGATTGCGATCTAGGAGAGCATACGGAAGAATGCCTACCCCCGTCAGCTTGGTGCTTTCAGATCTGCTACAAACCAAAAGAATCATGTAGTCGACATCGTCATCAGTGCTCAGCGGCCGGCACCCCCGGCGCCCACCAAACTCGTATCGCAAGCGAACTTTCGGGTCATCGATTGATACACGACTAGAAGAGTTCTCCGGCACACGAAACAGCATGCGCCGGCCACACAGTGTTGCGTTATATGTCGTTACGCCGCACCCGATTTCCGCAGGAAATGTCAGATTCTGCAACACCGGTAGTCGCATCATCTGGACCAGCAGCCAACGCTGCGTTACGCTTGCTGATGTCGTCGTCGCACGGAGAGTCAAGTCCTCCAGGCTAGCGGAGATGGTGTCAACCGGCCGGTCCAAATAGACACTGCGCAGCCAGGTACCAAGCAAGTGCGGACTTCGAACCAGGTCGATCTCATTACTACTGCCAGGCTTCGAGTACAGTGAAGCCTTGAGATCTTCACCCGAAAAGACGAAGCAAGACGATGTTCCACTCGACATCACCAGGTTCGGCACCTCAGGAGCTAAACGATACTGAATATTTCGTGTCGTGTACCACAGCGAGCTCACCCGTCCGTCCTTACAGACATACTCCGAAAGCCTTCGAGTTGAGCGTATCTGGAGCAGACTCCAGAGGCCTTCGAACGGTGGTCGAAAGGCTGGAATCCTCTGCCTGACGAGAAGCGGATATCGCGAGTGTTTTGGAAGCACATAGAATTCAAACTCAGGCGCGACCTCAGAAGCAATCTGCAAAAACCAAGCCACCGCACCTGCCTGACTCGGACGTCGATAATTCGGGTTCAGTTGCAGCCCGGACGAGGTATCGTAGTGACGTATCGAGTCGCCCGTTGCAGAATAAACGTCAGCAGCAGAGGTCGAAAACCCGGCGTGCCCCAAAAGGAAGAACCCTCGCTGATTAACATTCGTGTCACGACTTGCGAGACGCAGAAGTGGCGAATTACCGTGTGCAGCGAGAAGAGACTGGCTTCCACCGATGCTAAAAGGAAAGCTGCGCGAGAGTCCTGCTCGGTTCGATCCTCTGCGAACGCTCTGCATCATTTTTTCTTCTGCTTACTTCAGGTGAACAAAGCATGGTGCCTTACCTTACTTAGGATAGGTAATGTTCCTTTCTAACCCATTCAAACGTTTTGCATTTCTGGTTCATCTGCCGTTTTTTCGTTTCTACAGAGAGGGGTGCGGCCTTTTTTTGCAGGTGGATCAATTGCGATAATTGCACACCTCTTTCACAATAGCTCCTTTTACAACCGATAAAACTACCGAGCAAGCGCTTCTAGATGCGAACTTCAACTCTGCTCCAACCGAGCTGAACTACGGAAGTCAACAGACAGATATTGTGAGTATGACTTCGCAAGTGTTTGACCCCGTTCTTCCTCACGCATGTTGTTCGCTTGATTATTCGACCAGCAAATGCTTCTTCTGCCGTCTACCGCGAGCACGCGCTAGATCGGAGAGTGGAAGACTACTTGTTGCGGAATGGAGATTATTGTCCATCCTTGTTTTCATGGTCTTTCGAAACTGTGCAATTGTCCCATTTCGTGAAAATTCTAGTGAAAAAAGATGCGAGTTCCACCTCCAGTACATTGCGATTGGAAACGAGCTTCTGGGAAAAGAAGAAGAAAAATTCGGATGCATGCGCCTTGCAATCTCCCCCGACGATAATGTTATTTTCATCAAGTACCATGATCACTTGTTGTTTTAGCATCGCAGGTTCTCCAGCCGGAGATTCTTTTAAGAGAAACCCCGGTCTAGTAGCAGCAAGGGGAATCACGCCAATCCCACCGAGAGCCGTCGGACTTTCGATTGTATCCAGCATGACGACGAAGTAATCTATACCACAGGCATTCCTGGGCAGCGCATGCCCTCCTCTACGTGTCATAGAGTAGTAAAGTCGCCGCAACCCATCCTGAACGCGAGAGTCCGCCCTCTTAATAGGCCCTCGAACAAACAATCGGCGGTCACAGTAGGTTGCATTCCAAGCAGCAGCAGTCGCTGTACAGTCGCTTTGCCGACGACAATGCACATTCTGCAGAAGGGGAAGCTGCAACAACTGGAGTAAGAATGTTCGATGCTTTCTCAGGGCAGCGCTCATGGTCGAATTTATGAAAAACTCATCAAAGGACCCCGTTAGACACGCTGGTGGAGTTTTAAAAGCGTAAACGGAGCGGAGCCACATCCCCAATGCGTCCAACGATCTACGTAGGTCTATTTCGTTTGCGTCGCCAGGTTTCGCGCGTAGCTTCGATGTTCTCCCCGACCGAGAAAAAACGAAGCAGGAATACGACAACGGTGACATCACTACGCACGGCGCGTCCGGAAATGTTCGATACGAGGAACGGTTACTCACGTAGTATACAGCCCTCCGCCTCTTCCCGGGGAAAGCATCCAAAGGCATCGAGTCTTGCATGTCCACGACACTTGAATCCCTTTCCCTGCATATGGAGGCTCGGACCTGCAGCGGGCTCCAAAGCCCTTCGAAGGGTGTTCTTGCGTACGCGGTGCGTCGTCGGATTAGAAGAGCGCAACTCGAAAAGCGCGGCAGTTCGTAGAACTCGAATTCTGGCGCAAGGTCTTTTGCCAACTGCAGGAACCACTGAACGCCCTCTGCTTGCGTCTGCCGCCGATCAATCAAGCCGGCTTGGCCGCCGTACTGCATGACCTCCCCGTCGGCGGGCTGCGCAGGCATCCGCGCACCATGGCGTGTTAGTGACCGTGCCGCTGAAACTGAAGTGCGTGCCCATCTCGGAAAACTGCCTCCGAGCGTCATAATTGTGAGTCATATTGAAATGCGCTACATCTTCGAAGGACACTACTATGTATCGTGGAGGTCTTTGATGAAAACATGGCAGATCAAGCTAAAATTTGTGCGCATTGAAAAGACTGCAAACTTCTAATGTGTTCCTCGAACTACCAACTTTTGCCTTTTTGAGATTAGCATTTGTCGATTGCACCCATTTGCAGAAGATGGAAGTACCTTCTATCTTGTCTGTTTTGGTTAAAGCAGTTCATTTTTACGGTTTGTATCCGAGCATACGCGCAAGCAGGTCTGTTTTTTTATAACCTTTTTCAAAGCAGCTTGCCTTATGTTCTTCAATGCAGATACCTAGCACGTTTCTCTCTATGCGCACTTCAACTCTCCGCCAACCGAGCTGAACTACGGAAGTCAACAGGCAGATATTCAGTATGACTTCGCAAACGCTTGACCCTGTTTTTCCTCACGCTTGTTGTTCGCTTCATTACTCGACCAGCAAATGCTTCTCCCGCCGTCTACCGCGACCACACGCTAGATCGGAGAGTCGAAGACGTCTTGTTGGTGAATGGAGAATATTATCCATCCTTGTTTTCATGGTCTTTCGAAACTGTGCAATTGTCCCATTTCGTGAAAATTCTGTTGAAAAAAGATGCGAGTTCCACCTCCAGGAGACTACTTGTAGAATGAGAACTTTTCATCCTTATCTTCATGCGCTTTTGAAACTGTGCAATTATCCCACTTCGTGAAAATTCTATTGAAAAAAGATGCAAGTTCGGTTTCCAATACATTGCGGTTTGAGACGACATCCTTGGAAAAGAAAAAGAAAAACTCCGATGCGTGGTCCTTGAAATCGCCCCCAACGATATGATTATTCTGATCGATAACCGCGATGACCTGCTGCTTCAGCACAGGTTCTCCAGCTTGAGACTTTCTTAGCAGAAATTCAGGTCCAGTCGTTGCAAGAGGAATCATTCCGATTCCACCAAGCGCTAGCGGATTTTCGTTCGTATCCAGCATGATGATCAAGTAATCTACACCACAGGAGTTTCTCGGCAGCTCAGCTCCTCCCGTCCTCATGATGGAGTAGTAAAGCCGCCGTAGCCCCTTCTGCCGGCGACAATCAGTACGCTTCATTGGCCCGCGAACAAAAGATCGACGGTCGCCAAAGCGCGCGTTCCAGGCATCAGAAGCCGTTGCAGAGTCGATTTCCCGACGGCACGACAACTTCCTCGGAATTGGAAGCTGTAGCAACTGTACTAGAAGTGTTCGGTGCTTTCTTAGTGCCGTGCTCGTTGTTGAATTTACGAAAAGGTCCTCAAGCCGGCCCATTTTGTGCGAAAGTCGATTTTCAGCAGAGTATACCGAGTGGAGCCACGTACCCAGTGTTTCCGACGATGTCCTCAGGTCTATCTCGTTTGCACCGCCAGGTTTCGCGCATAGCTTCCATTTTCTCCCGGCGCGAGAAAAAACGAAGCAGGAATTCGATAGCGGTGACATCACCACACACGGTGCGTCCGGAAATGTCCGAGACGACGAACGGTTATTCACGAAGTACACTGTGCTGTGTCTGCGCCCTGGACTAGCTTTCAGGGGCGTCAAATTTTGTCCGTTGACAAGACTGGAGCGCCTATCTTCACATACAGAAGCTCGGATCAGCAGAGGACTCCAAAGCCCGTCGAAAGGTGTTCTTGCGTCCGCGCTGCGTCGTCGAATCACAAGAGGAATACTTGAATAGCGTGGTAACTCGTAAAGCTCGAATTCCGGCGCAACGCGTTTGGCCACCTGTACAAACCACTCAACTCCCTCTGCTTGAGTCTTCCGCGAGTCCTTCCACCGCGGGCAGCCGCTGGACTGCACGGCCAGACCGTGGACCGACGGCGCAGGCTTTTGCGCACTGTGGCATGCTAGTGGCCGTGCCTTCGCGACTGCTGCACGTGCCAATCGCGGAATACTGCCTCCAAAAGTCATGGCTGTGAGGCATATTGAAATGCGCTACACCTACATCTTCGAAGAAAGCTATTATCTTGGATGCCTACCTCCTTTTGCCTTTTTGAGATTAGCATTTGTCGATTGCACCCATTTGCAGAAGATAGAAGAAGTGCCTCTTCGTCTGTTTTAGTGAGAGCAATTCATTTGTACGGTTTCTATCCGAGAATCCGCATGTTCACCCCTTGCCGCCACAGCTGTTGCCACCGGCTTATGCCGAGACGCATTTTGTCCACGCGTTGCAGCAACAAGTGATGAAGCTATATTCTGACTCCATGTGCTCCTGGATTTCTTAAATGGTCTATACTATCCGAGTCTACTTCTACCAGTGATTCGTCCTTGATGGCAGTGTCTTTTTCACATGTGTCACAAAAGGCGCTCGTCACCCATGACATGCCGGCACGGAATGTGCTTGACAACCAGCATGAGTTCTTGGTTGGGATCTCTGACTCGGTCGATAAAAATGTATATGATTCACTTTCATCATCCGACCTTTCACCTTCTTCAACACCAGCAGTCGAGCTTCCATTTCGTGTGAGACGGTTCATCAACGGACGACTAAGAGCACCCCTCTTCCTACGATCCTTTTGTTCCAATATCCTCAACAACCTCGTCTCCTCTGCCAAGATTTCTTCTTCCGTGTTGCCCATCTCCTCCACCGGTATGGGTTTCATTCCTGGCAAAACCGGTGCAACATCTTCGAAGTTCATCAACGACTTGTCACTCTTCAATCGGTCTAGCGCCGACCCCTCGAGCTGTCGTCGCCGTTCGTGCCATACGTAATGGAGGCTGCCGGCTAGAATGCCAGTAGCGACTGCGTGGACGCCGAAGGTGCGCAGACGCGCTAAGCGGAAGGCGATGTCGACAGCGGGTGATTCTCGTGACGAAGCAGTTACGCGTGGGACGTAGTGCTTCAAACGCGCTATCGAGTAGCACGAAGTACACGTCATGCCGACGCAGACGGATGATAAGACTGACATAATTTTTTTGAAAAGCAAAAGAGGATCAAAAACTTGTCAAATATTTCTTAGTTTCAATATTCCTATTCGCATACTCAGAGAATCTAAGATTACACCACGTTGTAACTGTAAGTGATCTATCCTAGTTAACGAGACTCGTTTCTTTTTCTGTGTGCCCTATATTATTCCAAATGCATGGCGTTTCTCTCGCTTTTTACTTTCAACCATCTTGCTCTTTCACTCACTTTCAATCATCTTCTTCGCCGCATCGCCCGACAGGCTTTGCATTGAGCATACAATGCCAAAGAATCTTCTAGTAGGCTTCCATTCAACAATACGGCGCAGAAGTGGGGGCTCGGGTACAACAAACGTTCGCAACATTATCGACGAGGTACAACAGCTGAGCAAAGTCTGAGATTCTTCGAAATTGAAATCGGTTCAAAAGGATTCAACTGGACATGAAATCTCAAATTTAGTTGTAAGTGTTTCATCTGGTTAAATGTAGGTAAGAGTAAAATTGCATCGTGTTCATATCTGATGTCGATATCGATCTAAGGAATTATTCAATCATCGTTTAGAGAAGCATTTTCATGTTTGTTGCTAGTTACTATCGACAAGAATATTGACAAAATGTAGACACATGAATTTTTCCTTTTCGAAGAGGAAAAACGAGCAGTAATCGTGGTTAAATGAAAATACTGTGGGTCATTTGTAAACAACTATGTCGTTACCCCAAATGTTTGTAATGTTCAGTCAATCCTACGAAGACCGCGTTTGAGGGTGGATCTTGTTTTATTTGGGGCATCTAGGTGTTTATCGTACAGCGGTGGCATAATATCGAGTAAGTATGAGATCTATGACACCATAAAGTCAAACTGAGCATGTTACATATCGACATTTAGAAATGAACTCGTGATAATTCGTTCCTCAACAAGTAACACCTTCTTAAACCAAATTGAAATTGCTGACAGTATTTTACATTTGCAGTTGTTGATTATGCCCAAACGCCTTTGCCTCCTCCTCTTTCGCCGCCACCTGACAGTCCTGCACTGCCAAACGGCCTGCTGTAATTAGAGGTAGGTTTTTGGTGCTCCCTTTCCCCGCTTGTTATGCCTTTCTCCCTTAGGAGAGGCATAAAAAGCGGTAAGAAAAGCACCTTTAACCAACCCTTAATGTAACCACCGCCGAAGCCGCCACCACCAAAGCCGCCACCGCCTCCGCCCTGACCAAAGCCTCGCTCTTCAGGCTTGAAGGCGTAGCCGACAGCATTATCCCTAGCACCCCGGTTCCAACCTCCGATCCGGACACGATTCCCATCCCGACCTTCCATTCCACCCTTGCCGCCTCCTCTTAGAAATGGCACTCTAATTTCAAAAATACAAGACACAAGAACATTACGACGAGAAAATCTATTTAGTAGTAGTAGTAGTAGTAGTATTCGAGAAGTACAAAAATTAGAGGTATCTATGTGGTATCTTCTGCCCCGAAGGGGATCAGAAATGTTATTTACAGTATCTATATTATAAGTACATCACAACAACAGGTTCTTTCCACCACCAAATAACAAAAACACAGATCGGTATCTATGGTACCTCCGTCTACCAAGAATTATAGGGTACCATCTATATGGTCCCTCCGTCTACCAAGCGTCTACCAAGAATTATAGGGTACCATCTATATGGTACCTCCGCCTACCAAGAATTATAGGGCACCATCTATATGGTACCTCCGTCTACCAAGAATTATAGGGCACCATCTATATGGTACCTCCGTCTACCAAGAATTATAGGGTAAGGTCGACCATAACTTTCCACCTCCTTTTCCGCCCTTTCCTTTTCCTTTTCCTTTCATGCCTTTACCCGCAACGATGACTGTGCCACGCGTCCTTGCGCCGTTGGCATAGCGTGTGCGGTTGAAGTGTCTCACATCCTCAGAGTAGATGTCCCGGAAGCCTTGGCCTTGACCGTCCTGGTTACGGTCTTGCCGACCGCCATGTCCTTGACCCTGGTTCTTCATGTAGTGGCCTGTCTTGTAGTCGATAGTGCGCTCATGCTGCTCAATCGCATTACCACAGCGGTCTGCTACACTCATCGTAAGACGTTGGAACTTCGAATTGCTGTCCTCATGTCGGACAATCAAAATACGCGAACTCTTGTCCCAGAAGAGTGGTACCTGAGAAGTGAAACAAGGAGGGTTACTTTAAGAGGCATCTTCCATTAGGCGAAAAGACTAGAACTAGACGACCAGTAGTAGTAGTAGTAGTACTAGTGTACCCAGTCACATGAACATGTAGACGACCACATGAACATTACCTCGCCATCCAGAATCATCCTCGAGCAAATGGAATGGATCTGCTTTTCTGGCAGTTGGAACATCTCCGTCAACTGCTCTAGATCCAAACTATCATACGCGGATGTGTGCTTCAGGCAGTAGCATCGAACGGCTTTTGATTAGATGAGTCGTGTGCGTCGGTATTCTAGTGACTGCGGAGCATCGGTATTGCTATTGTCGCAATGAACATCTTCACTATGTATAACTTAAGACCCGGCCACCTCCTCGGACAGCGTGCTCTTAAAAAAAGTTGCACGATGGATGGGCAAACAAGCAACCGAAACTCAGAAAAAAAAAGTCTATAATATCCGAATAAATTATCCCTTCATTCATCCATAATGTTCCTTCAGCAGTCGTTCCAGGGTTTCGACAGCGATTATGTCGCTCAAAAATTTCACCTGTTTCAGATGCACGTGAAGAGCAGCCTTCCAGTCTCCTCGCATAATCGCCTGCGCGGCATGCAGAATGTGCTCCCGGGTCGTCTCAGCAGGGGTTTGGAAGATCTGGTATTGTGTATGATATTGAAGCATTGTGTATGATATTGAAGTTGAATCTGGTAGTTGGTGTCGTCATTTTACTAAAAGAGATTTTGCGTAGCAAGATTCTCCAATTGTTGAACAAGCACTGACCAACCAAGGTCTTCCTGGTTAGTTGATAGCACTTCTGAATGATGATATAGATTTTTTAGTTTACTTCCTCGTACAACTAGGTTGTACTTACATTAACCAAGAATCATGTGAAGATTGTAAGGGGTAGCTAACGTTGTAATAATGTTGATGAACGACCGAGGAAGCCCAAAGACGACCGTGGTACTGATGATTTGAATCTATTCGGCGAGCTGCCTAAGATTTCCCTGACTAACGTTGTAATAGCGTTGCAATAATGAGATTTACCTAGGACTTTTCAAAGTCAGTATTTCTATGCAGTAAATTTCTAAGGAATAACCTTGTAATAATTAAAAAGTGTTACGTTCTTATCCAACGCATCCAAGTATTTCCGCAGAGCACGGGAGATCAGACGACGGTGTCCGGGATTGTTCTGCTGGATCAGGATATTGGGAACCTCTAGTAGCAAAGCCGCGATCAAGTGTGCCGCGTCCAAGTGATCTAAGGGAATGTGCATGTGGTATGGCAATTGTCGTCTGCGTTCGGTTTTTTCCTGTTCCGGGTTGCGCTCGTTGAATCGCTGAAACGCGACACCTTGGGCGAGTAGCTCCTTACTCTTGTTGTAGGTGCAGAGTTCCCGGATTAGAGGGGTTCTTCTACGTCATGTCATGATGGTACCTCTTGTGGAACTATAAGTGTCTACCTGTGACTGAGGCCATGGTATTTTTCATAACAAGTTGTGATGTGCAACTAACTCCGAAATACTTATGAAATCCAGTACTGCCCTAGTTGCAACAGAAAATCACACAAAGCACTACTAACAGTAACACAACCACACGATCGTCCATAACATCAAGTAGTGATGCGCTTCTGGAATGAGACCCTGTCGGAAGGCACAGAGACCGGTCTGCGCGAATGCACGGTTGTAGAGGATCTGGGTGTGCGTTTCCACCTCCAAGGCTTTCTCGTACATGCTCATGTAGTGAAGGATATCCCGCGCCGCTCGAAACTCGTTGTGCAAAGCTAAATGGTAGGCACGGCAGAGCTGTGTTCGTGCGATAGGGGTCGTGTGTGTTGAGATTGAGATAGGGATATTGTATGCTTTGGAAGCAAAAACTTGGATCACGACACGGACTTCAAAACCGCATAACAAGTGTGAAGTATCTACGACTAGACCTAATGCTTCTAGATCCTGCCTTAATACTTGTACTAGACCACATCCAAATGATCCATCAGCAACCAATCATTACCTCTGCCCTGATGACAAAGACACGCTCGGTTACTTGACCGCTGCATCCGTTCTCAATCACCTTGCACAAAGCATCAATCAGCTGAAACGACTTGCCATCTTCGAAACTCCAGTCACCGAGATTGTTCGGACCTAGGTGTTTTGTTATCGGTCGAAGCTTCCGAATGGAGGCCAAGATAGTAGGTGGAATTAGCATTTAATATTAGAGCTATGAAAGAAATTCACGCTGTCCCTACGTGAAAACTAAACAATTTCAATAAAGTGCCATGTTCGGAACATATAAAACAGCAGATAAAGATGCGCTCTATAGCATAACATACGCAGAGCACAAAGAAATCCGGCGAGATCGCACGCGCCGCCCGGAGCGCATCGATACAAACAAACAAACAAGATACTCTCTAGTAAAAAAATTACATTTTTCAATCTCATATCCGAAACTCTCTAGTAAAAAAAATACATTTTTCAATCTCATATCCGATACTCTCTAGTAAAAAAATTACATTTTTCAATCTCATATCCGATACTCTCTAGTAAAAAAATTACATTTTTCAATCTCATATCCGATACTCTCTAGTAAAAAAATTACATTTTTCAATCTCATATCCGATACTCTCTAGTAAAAAAATTACATTTTTCAATCTCATATCCCAGCTCGGATTTCATGAAAGCGAAAGCCATGGCGTTGTCCGTGTCGTTCTTGTAGTAGATGTGTTCCAACAGCCGGCTGCAAACTTTGGTCAATTCTACACTGTCCATTTTCAAGGTGAGCATGTGATGCGCAATGTCCTTGAGGAAGATGATCATGTGGCAGCTGGCAATCAGGTACTGGCCCTTAGAGAGGAAGCAGCTATAGTACTGTAGAGAATCATAATGTTGTTCTGAAAGGGTGTTGGGTGTTGAGGTCAGTCACAATATGTTGTTCGTGTTGGGTGTTGACTCATAAAATATGTTCATAGCGTGTTGAGGTGACTCATAATATTGTTGTTCATAGCAGGTCGTATTCAGCAAGCGTCACTCATAATGTTCATAGCAGGTCGTATTTATTCACTGACACTTACCTAGCACGGTATGGTCCTCGAGTTCGAAAAATGAAAAACTGCAATATGTGATAGGGTAGAGTGCCTCCACATCGCCGTCACCTATGGTCTTCTCTATCAAACAAAAAAGCCTTAACTTGCATCTCCTTCGTCGCGAATTGCAAGCTTTTGAACATTTCGTCATCGAGTCGGAAGACCGAAAGCAAAAACATACGCCAAATGTTCTGCTTGGTGAAAGTGTCGTCTTGATCGTCACTCTCCTGGATGCTCTGCTCTTTCCCCTGTTCATCTTCGGTCTGCTCCCAGGCTGTAGGGGTTAGAGCAGAATCGATAGTACATGGAGTACTACATTAGGGTTTAGGTTGGATTGGAGTCCTACATCAGATATTTTCTAGTATAGAGAAGACAAAGTAGTCATCGTATGCATAAGTACGTCGTATAGTCGTCTTATGCATAAGAAGATGGATCATGATTAGAGATCTACGTCTACCATTACTTGTTCTACGTTCTACATCTAGGGGAAAAAATTTTACACATACGAGTGCTTATCAGGTTCAAAAATTTGAGAAACTTACGAATACACGACTCTTTTCCATAAATACAACTCGAACATTTCCTTCAAGTAGGCCAGGGCGCTTTCCCAACGCCTAAGGTTGAGGTTCTCGAACCAAGCTCCACTATAGGAATCGAATTCAAAGATGACTTTCTGCGCGTTCAAAAAAATCTGCGCGGCTGGCCCATGCTTGTAGGTTCTCACGACTTTGGTTAGAGAGGTGACACAACAGCTGTATGTGTAATTCTTGCCGGAAAAAATGAAGATATATAATTTATATAGTTATACAGTCCTTACAACAAAGAAGTACTAGATGGTCGTCCCCCTTACAGCGAACCCCAACATGCCTGTTAATCCCAAAGAGATACAACAACGACTGGCTCATTCGCCCCTTCATGATAAGGCGAAGGTTAAGGTTGCGGGTCCACTGACTCGCGGCCACGCCGCACCGGCAGGGACGACATAGGTTCGAGTAGAACCGCAATAACCCCTTGAATATCAGTGTACCCTTTAGCCATAAGTTCAAATAGAAGTCCAGCTTCTTCAAGTACGTCGCGCGGTCAAGGCTTTTGCGACCTCGCATCTGCACCAGGTCCGAAAGACGTTTGTACAAATCTGGGGTCTTCAACTCATGAATCTTGCCATCCGGATCCTCGCTTCGACGAATAGCGTCGTCTCCCTCGACCTTCAGCTTATTTAGCTTGTCACCGGCCTTACCTGTGGGTTTTTTGCGGGGGATGGATGGATAGATGGAGAATGATGGATCCAACTCTGAATAGACAGGCGTGTCCTGTTTGATCACCATAATTTATTATACAAGCCCAACAAACACCAGCTTGTCTGATGCATCTAAGCATAAATCATCAAAAAGCCAATTGAGGCGAGGAAACATGTTTGTACATTAGTTCGCAAAAAATATCGTCCTAAAAAAATACACTACCTATCATTTTTATGTTGTAGATACCACATTACGACGAGATCACCAGCATCACAATATTTTACACCAATCACAACAGACCAAAACAATATACCGGCCTGCGTCTGCGCTTTTTTCTTTTCCGCCCTTTCTCGTGCGAGCGCAGCAACACGTTCCTTCTGTTCGCGTTCGCGGCGCTCTGCTTCGTAATCAGCTTCGGTTTTCAGCCAGCGTCGTCGACGACGCATTCGGATCATTTCTTCGTCCATGTCACTATCCTCGCTTGATTCCGAAGAATCGGAGTAATCGGAAGAGGAATCTTTGTTTTGGGATGAGGTCAGTGGAAGATGACTACATCGATCAGGAGCACTTGTTCCAACTCGGAGAGGGAAAAAGGACACGATCCTCGACAAGTGATTATCATGTCTCAAATACAACATTTCCAGTGATCATCTTCAGGTCTCATATACAGTCTTCGTCGATCATGCTATCTCCTTCATACTCCATTTTCACAAGTACCACTATCCGAGTCACTGTCGCTATCGGAGTCGTCACTTCCAGACTTGGCTTTTTTCTTCGCGGCTGCAGCTGGCTTTGCTGCTGGAGATTCATCTTCGTCGGAGGAGCTGTCATCCGAACTCTCGTCACCGCTCTCCGCTTCAGCCTCCTCCTCTTCAGCTTCTTCTTCGTATAAAGGATGAAAGAGGCGATGGGGATCAAAAAGGAGGTTAGGAAAGAGAGAGAGGGAACTGAAACCACAAATACAAATATGTCATAATCTTCCGGATGTTCTGCCAAGTGGGCAAGTTGCTCTTCGAATTCCGCATTACCCTTGCGCACTTTTGCGCGAAGAGTGTTGAACGCCTGAGCCTTGTTTTTAGAGAAGAGCTTCTTCTCCCCGTTGTTCTGTACCGTTTCTAGATGTTCTGCTAAGTCTGCGATAGCCTTGATAAAAAATTTCGGCACTTTTTCGGTTTTTTGTCCAATAACTTGGGTTAATTTTACCAGGACTTTGCGCGATTCCTGATAGGAGGTTGATTTAGGTGGTAGGTGTATGAAGGTTTATGTGGTGGGGAGCTATGTGTGTAGGTATGTAGGTATGTAGGTACGTAGGTATGTATGTGTGTATGTATGATGATGTACACAGAGGTAATTTCCTGAAACAAAACTACCTCATAATCGTTTCCCAGACTGGAGTAATCGTGGATCTTCATATGATTGCGCATTGTTTTAATGTGATCTTGCAAAGCCGCAAACTTTTTGTCGCTGCCAGAGCGAATCACTCGCTTTGTGGTTGGGTATGAAAGAGGAAGGACGTGAAACCAAGAAGAACGAGAGGACATATTAAAAGGGAAATACTAGTAGTGCATGTCGTACGAGTTATCATCATTTTCGACTTTGTTGTGAACGAGAGCTTGTAAAGAGAAGATTATGTACCTCCAATCAAAGCAGAAGTCGATTAACGCATTACAAACAGCCAATTACCCAACCAACCAAGACGCCTTAAATCTTCCTCACTGCTCGAATCGGTATCGACCCATGCTTTTTGAGCGGCCTTTTTCGGGACGACCTTCGGTCGCTCGTCCTCGGAACTGCTGCTACTACCGCTATCCGAGTCGCTCGAAGAGCCACCACCAAAAAATTTTGACGTCATCTTGTTGATATGTGGGGAGAAAAAGGTGCTGCGAGGAGAAAGTTGTGAGTAAGGATGTAGTGGAAATTACTTGTTCTGTTAACTACGTTATATGAAAGTACTAAATTCTGGTAGTTCCGTATTGATGCTACGAGCACAGATCTTGTATTTAATATGATTGATGTGCCAGAAATAGGAAGGAGTCAGATTCTTCAACTTATTGAAGTATGAGACGTCCACCTACGAAATATGGGTTTGATGTTTGTATTTTTGATGCACTTGGCGTGCAAAGGGCAAAGTGTATACACCAACATTTCAGTATCAAAGTAAGTGCTGTTGTTGCTTTGAAAACACGAGAGAGTTGTGCTTGCCTAGACTTCGAACCGGACTAGACCAACCGTCAACCTTCACTTGTAAGGTCAGTAACCACCATCTTCTCAGCATCACACAGTCTCACGCTGCAATAGATCGTGTGGCAAGTACAACTAAGATCTCCACCTATTAACGGTAAGACAACCTATACCTTGCTCACTGGATTTGATCAGTACTCGCAATGTGCGGCGAGCACAAGACGCCAAGAGAGCGTGCCTTGAAGACGCATAGCCTTACGACACACACACCGGCAAAAGCATAGAACACAACCTTCCTTCCTTGCATTCTCCACGCAGAGACTGACACCTGCGAATCGAAGGACCTCCTCGAGTCCTCGACAGATATCACAATTGATATGACCTTATGTGAGTCGCCGTAAACGGAGAATGTCCACTGACAACAATATTTTATAAATGGCCATTTTTCATCTGCAAAAAGCCTTTGAAGTGGTAATAGAAGGGGACCTTAGGTCTTGGAAAAGTCTCTAGCCCTAGTCAGCGTAGGCGTCAAAACACCACATCGTAACTAGCACGAGATAACTTAATCATACTAATATGCCGAATCAGGTGTAAAAATAGTCGAAGCATGAAGATAGACCATATGTAGATTCAATTATGTGGATTTTGTGGTGTATATATCGATCGAGATGATCAAACAGTTGTAATATTTGGAATTTGAAGTAGATCGGATCTATAATGCCTTGGTTGTTGTATCGAAAAAAGTAAGTAGCTAGCATGAGGTAAACAAAGAGACTAAACGATCAAAACCAGCGCTGCGTGGACGTACAACCTAGTATCGACATGTGCATCGGATAAAATTGGTGATAAATCAACTTCGAGCAATCCATTTCAAATATCGATAGAAAAAAAAAAATTTTTCCATATAAATTATCACTACGAGTGTGCGACTATCGCTTCTTCCCACCTTTCTTACCTTTGCCTTTCTCCGCTGCATCTGCCTCCTTGCCACCTCTTTTACCGCGTCTCATTCGAGGTGTTACAAGAGGCCCGTCGAGCTCAGGGGGAACAGTGATCCCAGGGGGACCCTTCTTTCCCTTTCTCTGAATGCTGTCGTCCAGCGGTGCGTCTAACAACCTGCTTGCACGACCCTCCTGTGTTCTCAGTAGAGGCTCAACGTTAAATCGCAAAGGTGTAGACTGCTCTATTGCTTTGTTAACAACTCTAAGACGGTCCTTTTCCTGCTTTTGAATTAACTTCTGCACCTTGGGATTCGCAAAATACGCTTCTTCCCTCCTCATCATACTGCGAAAACGCGTTCGTGCAGTCAGCACGACAGGTACAGCATTCTTCGAAGAAGACGCTGCACTGGAACTAGCTGGAATATCGTTACATGAAGCCCCGGCTTTATCATTATCAGCTAGACTCGGTATGCTCTTCGATGCAACTGCTGCTTTGTTCTGTGTATCGCCATTCTTTGTCGGCATGTACTGTGCTGAAGATGTTCCAGAGTACGTGTCATTCTGGGTCAAGACCAAGCTCGACCTATTGTTGTAGACACGAGGTCTATTTTTAGGCTTGCTTAACACACAACCTGTTGCTGGCGCTGGTGACAAACCTTTCGTTGTAGGTGATGATGTCTTTTTCACATCTGCTGCTGCAACTAGCGACGTTGTGCTCGTCCTCTTCTGCTCCTTGACCTCTGGTGCTGGGCTAAGCTGGCGTTTCACCGTTGGTGGCTCAAAGATGAACGTTCTTCCTAAAGGATCCTTGCTGCGACTTGCCTGCTGCAACAAGCTACTACTACTGCTACTAGTGCCACTAGGACTTGGCTTACTTACCCATACTTCCTTGTCTTGTTGCTTCTCCCCATCCTTCTGAATCACGAACCTTTCGTGCTTATGCTTCTTTGACGCTTCCTCACGATCACCAGCAACATCTTTTCTAGACCTTTTCATGGTCTTACTCCCTTCTGCTTGATCGCTATGGGGATAGAGGTCTTTAGAAGATCTTTTCATCCTAGTATCCAGCTCTTCATCCGTATTATAAAACCTGTTCACGGCAACGGCGTCGGTTGCTTTCTTCATGTGCTGCTCATGCGTCTTTTGAATTTCCTGGTCTTCTCTGTTTCTTCTAGAGGAATGCTGCGCGTCTGGATCTGCTTTTTCTACTGCAGGAACTTCTTTATCCTGTACTGCAGCACCAGCTTCCTCTTCCAGGGAATCACAGTAGAGTTCTCGCAAAAGCCCCTGCCGTAATGTTTCGAACGAAATGATGCCGCCATTTCTGCCTGCGGTCGCTCTAATTAGCTGATCTGCGCGTGGCGAAAGCTCTTGAAAAGGCAAATCTCCGAAGTCTGCATCTTCCTCTAGAGCTGCATCATGGTGTCCTTCTGGCTCTTCCTCATCTCCACCGTCACCCAGGAATTCCAACGTAGGAGGCCGTTGTTGTTGTTGCTGTTGTCTAGAAGTTTGTTGTCCCGCCACCGAAGCAGGTCGTACAACAGCAGCATTACTAGAGGTAGATCCGCTACTCGTTGTCGAAGTCGTGGCATTCGATATTGTTCGCATATTGCTATCCGAAGGCGCCGTCGGCAGCTTGTCGATCAAGCTTTCCAGGGTTGCCGCATCCGTGGGCAAGGATTTGTCGTTCGGTAAATGCGCTAACAGGGTCTCCATCGCATCCGCCATCACCTCTTCCTCGAAATCGGCGTCAGACACAAACGCAAACCTCAATCGCTCCAAACCCTCTCTTGCCTCTTTCAAAACAGCGCGCACAAACCACTGGGCCTTCCCTAAAGTGCTGTCATTCAGAGCGCGACCTCTTTCCATGGCGTCCCGCAGTGCCGCGATGTTGACGAGCAAAGAAACGGGAGATTGGGAAACTGGGATGGCGCGCACTGTACTCGTGTTTCCCAATTTGGTCTCTCGCCAATGAGCTTTGGGCACCCACCACGGACGGTCACGCTGGATCATCCTGGCTAATGCTAGGTCTGCAGTAGACCTGGTACTAGTAGCCCCAGTGGAAAAATTTGAACTACTTGAGCTGCTATGACTCGAAGCTGGGACGATCGCCGCACTCTGGCCTAAAGGGTCGAAATACAGTAGTAGCGCTTCTCTTGCGTCCCTACGTGTTGTTGTATCCTTTTCCGCTATGAAAAGGTCTTTTTCTTGTTGATGATGACCTTGTCGTTGACCTTGACCACTACTTCTACTGCCACCACTACTAGTACCAGAACAACAACTTTTATAAACCCGATTCAATGTTGAATTCCGGAAACCAGTTAGTTCAAAGGCTTGCACCGACTGCCCATCAACAGCAGCAACCACGTCGCGCAGAGATATCTTCCGCTTGGAAGAAGCAGAAGAACTCTCCACTACCTCGACTAGTCGCATTTGTAACAGACTGTCAGCACAAAGGCCTTCTGCTGTTGTTCCGCCTGTCGTATGTTGTTCTGAAGGAGAACTACTGGCGGAAGCTGAAGACGAAGCTGTTGACTCTCCAATTTGATTTGCCTTTCCTCCACTAGTAGTACTAGTAGCTGGCGCTCCTCTTTCCAATCTGAAAAAGTCAAGTCCTTTTTCGATCGCTGCGCCAATAGCACCGTGGAGTAGTTGGGTCGCTTTCCTCGCGGACAAAGGCGGTCCTTGTTTGAGCAATTCAAGTCGTAATGCGTGTAACTGCTCTTCCGGCGTGGGCTCCCCCGCGTTCAACAGCTCTGTAACTTTGCGCGGATACTGACATCAACAGAGAAATAAGATTTATAATTGGGTGGATCATAACTGTCCGAGTCCGAGGAGAATTCGACAGGTATCGTAAGATACAGCTAGCATGTACTACTTTTCACGTACAAAGACAGTTTCCTAACCTACGAATTACTTACCAGATCATCGACTCTGCATAAGCAAACGAAATTGATCACTCCATCAAGTACTAAATCTTTTACAAACGCATCTCCGATACGTATTCAGACAAAAACAAAACTGACCAGAATACCTACATCTTGTACCACCATCAGCACATTATATCGAAAAACGAAAAATAAATCTACCATCACCGCCGTCTTTCCAAGTTTTTTAATCGCTCGACTCTCCTTATCCCAGTAAGGGATGGCGTCAGGGTGTTTTTCTCGAAAAGCGTTCTTTAAATATCGGCAAATCAAAGTCGCATACTCGTCGGAATTACTCACACCAGAAGGCGCTGCTGCTGCTGAAGTACCATTAATGGTCGTACTAGAATAAGTGTTAGTACTAGAAGTATTGGACAATATCCTAGACGTAGTACTTCTAGTGTTGCAAATGTCATGGAAGAATTGGAGCTCTAACGGTTCTCCAAGAGCTGAGTTCCCCCCACTGACCAAAGCCTGCAACAGCTGCATCGCCAACTTTTCTGCCCCAGCGCGGCATTCTGTTTTTTGTTCTGCCTGCTGAAAAAAAGTGCCCCATGCTGCTACAATCTGCTCTCTTTGATCGCGCTCGCCCAGCGATTCTTTGCGATCGCGGAACTTCATGTCGAACGACTTCAAATTGTATCCGAAAGCTGGAGTCGCTGGCCCTGCTGCTGCCCTCAATTCATAGTAGTTAATCACTTGCATGTCTTTCACGTAGATTCGACCGCGTGTCGCATTCCCACAGAGGATTTCGTAATCTGAGGAATAGGTACTTACTCCTATATTCTCGTCCCCACGAGTTGTAGAGGCAGAAGAAGTCCCACTACTGGAAGACAAAGAAACTCGTTGCAAGTCATCAGGCTGTATAAAAAACAAGTAGCGACTGCAGTCCAATTGAAACTGCGGCACGTAGATGCGAACTAAAGTGTCCCATTCACGGTCGAACAATAACTCCTGTGGCGGCTGTGGCTCCAAGCGCGTTTGATGGTTCATTGGATTCACAAAGTAGTGCAACTGTTTTACCCCGTCTGGTAAGTTCGAGGCAGCACGATAGTCGAAGCAATATCGGTAACCGCAAGAGAAAATATCCACTTTGCGTTTGTCCGACAACAGCTTGCTTATACTGCTGTCCAAACCGTCCCCAAACCTGCCCTTCGCTATTTTCCTACAGCGTTTCTTTTCGGGTCCCGTGAATCCGATAATAAAGTTGCACGGTCGAAAACAGGTTGCGTAGTTGCACAGGTAGATGTACGGATGGTCCAGAGCTAGGGCGCCAACAACGTAATCCTTGTAATAGAGACGACCCAATTTCGCATAGCTTCCGCCACCACCTCCGTTTCTTTGATGTGCACTACTACTACTGTTGCCTCCACCACCGCTGTAGGCAGCTGGAGCCCGCTTACGTACAAAATCCGCGTCCTGCTCATCACGAAAAATCAGGTCTCGCGCAAGGGTGGAACTAGATATCTGCTTTGATTAGAGGGCCGAGCAATATCTTCGCCTTCCGCCCTGATGTGCGAATCATTTTCAAATTCTCCTCTGAGAGATTATGAGGGAAAAAATACGACATCCCGCGTGAAAAAATGGCGAGGGCTGATTGATTGATTGATTGATTGACTGACTGATGTGCCCACTCTCGGCGTGTAGCATCTCTAACTAGCTGCAAGACTTCCCTTTATTTCTTCGTTCCTTTGTCATCTATCAAAATTTTTACGACGTCACCAGTCTTAATCTATTTCTTCTGCAGCCGCGCTTGGGTATCTCTTTGACAGGCTCTCGAAAAGCTCTTCGGTGAGTCTGATGCTGATTTGATCGTAGAAGTTTTGCACTAATTCATCCATTGCAGCAGCTGTGTCCCATAAAAGGCCCTTCGGCTTAGAAGATGATCAGCAATAGATGGGCATTAAGATGAAGATAGAAGACACGAATATTAGTTGAAGAACGTAGACTTTGATATTACTTGAAGATGAAGAACGTAGACTTCAATATTAGTTGAAGAACGTAGACTTTATTAGTTGAAGGAGGTAGACTTGATTAGTTGAAGATGAAGATAGACTTTCTCAGTTGAATAAGATAGACTTTATTAGCTCCTGAATAAGGTAAACTATAATATTAGTTGAAGAAGATAGCCTTGATTTTTATGTAAGTAACAAGAGTATTGATACGTAAGTACACACGAAATAAATGCTACTCAACTAGGAGTAAGGAACTAGGGATGATTTCCATTGCTGTAATGAATGTCAATAAAAAATAGTCAAATTCTTGCAAACAGAGGACTCGTCATCTCTATTCTTCCATAATGGTGCTATGTTCTGCAAGGTTGAGTGAGGTTCCAGTTTTGCACATGCTGCGTCGTAGTTCGTCTTTGCCTGCATCGAATTCACCTCTATGCTTCGCAAATGTTTCCGGAAAACTATACTTGGGAGGAACTAGGCTCTTAGCATTATTGCTCGACGTAGTAGTTTTCTGCTTCATGTTCGTCTGGTGTTGTCCGTTTGGTGCGGCTGTGGTCGCTGTAGAACGATTTGAGGAAGCCACGACTTGAGCATTCATCCTCGACGGTCCATTCACTGTAGAACGCTGCCCCCTCATTGTTGCTGAGGATGAACTTGCCCAACCGGAGCCATACTGTCCTCCCCCTGCACCTCGCGACATGCCCAAATAGGACATGATCTTGATGGTTTACACTAGTAGATGCAATCGATTGACACCTTGGGCTTCAAAGACAGATTCTAGGATACTTGTGAATGAATGAAGGTACTGAGAAAATCAAACAAAATCATAGTCTTCATTCCGTATAATGCTCGAAGTCTTCACTATATTTTTCATACTCCAGAAATAGCTTCATTCTACCGATCATAGTCTTCATTCCGTATAATGCTCGAAGTCCTCACTATATTTTTCATACTCCAGAAATAGCTTCATTCTACCGGAAAAAATTATATAACATACGAGTTGCAAGAAAGGATCATGCATAGCTTCAGTAAAAATCAAAATAAAATGCACATCATCAGCATGCCTGTAGTTCGAAATACTTAACCAAAGTATAGTCTTAAAGCAAAGCAAACAGTCATGCAAAAAGTAACTCCCCGGCTACAACCGGCTCATCATGATATACACGCACTCTTTTTTCACAGAAGCACTTCATCACTGCATCTGAACCATCCAACATCTTCGGGCGCTTCTTTTCTGCCTACATAGAAGTAGATTCTTCACATCTGAATCTCACAAAGAAACATGATACAGATACCACACGGACTCCAAGGAAAACAACCGGGAAGGATCCACAGTTACAACAAACTTTTCGATCCACGAGGATCATCAAGTTTCCGAGACAAAGATCCAAAAATTCCATCATCAAGGTTTGCCACAAAGACGAGAAAAGGCGAGATCTATAGTCACGCTTCACAAAAGCGATGAACTGCTAACACTTACCACTTTCTTACAACACACAGCACATGGTGCTCGACTTTGTCATAAATTTGGAGTACTCGATGCTGACTTCATGGAGATCTATTGACTGTGAAGCGAGACATCGTTGCCCCAAAATGAGTACCGAAAACACCTTGCCTGATTGACCAGGCTCTTGACTGACTGTCTGATTGCCGGATTGGCGGCTTGGCTGACCAGCTTCTTTGCTGATTAGCTGACTGACTGCTTGAGGGTATAAGACAATGGACTCCGGTATGCGGAGTTGTAAACCCCTTCTCCTTGTATGTTGGTGCTTCCTTATATGTTCGCCCTCGGACTGTCTTGTATGGAGCGCCGCTCCACGGTATCATATCATCCGGAAGTCCTTAGACAGGGACGCGAGTTGTCGGCATAGGCCTAGGGGGCCGGTGCTCGCTCGTGGAGTTCTTGGCGGTCATGCGGATGGCACAAGATCCCTCTCGCCTCATGATCTTCGTCGCCGTTCCATTGGGGACGCTTCTAGATCAATCACACCCAGCACAGGCGAAACGCCAGACATGGCGCCGGCGCTTACAGTAGGAGCGGCGGCCCTGGGGGAGTGGGGCCGGATGCTAGGCATCAGACGAAGCGGGAGCGCAAGATACGCCAACTCTAGGGAGGGGCGGTTTGGTTTAGATCGCCCTCTATAGGGGCCGACGGGAAGCCCATGGAAGAAAGTGGCAAGCCTTTCTCCCATTAGTTTCCCACGAGGTTGCGACCTTCTCGCTTTTATTCGGCTTAAGTAGCGAGAAAGCCTAGACTTTGGCATTAGTTGCTGACCCTGCTAGGCAGCTCTGCGCTGCGCGTCACGTCTGTTGCCGACTTATCGCGGAAAGGGTCCTAGGCAGCTCGGCGCCGCGCGTCTGTGGTCGACTTGTCGCGGGCCGGCAGCTAGGCAGCCCTGCGCGCCTGTTGTCGACTTATCGCGGGCCGGCTGCTAGGCAGCTCCGCGCCGCGCGTCTGTTATCGGCTTGGCCACCGCGGGCCGGCGGCTAGGCAGCTCCGCGCCGCGCGTCAGTCATCGACTGATCGCGGGCCGACTGCTCGGCAGCTCTGCGCCGCGCGTCTCTTGTGGTCTATCGCGGACCGGCCGCGAGGCGGCTCTGCGCTGCGCGTCTCTTGTGGACTTATCGCGGACCGGCCGCGAGGCAGCTCCGCGCCGCGCGTCTCTTATAGACTGATCGCGGGCACGAGATCCGACAGCCGAGGCCTCTTAAGGAGGTCGCCTTCCTAACTCGAAGAAGTTCGCGCTTTTCAGCGAATTCCGAGGGCGGCGCGCCATCTGATGGCGGCGGCAGGGTGTCGGGCATCAGTTTCACGACGGGCAAACAAACGAGCGCACGATCGCGGACAGCCAAGGCCTCGAAAAAAGGCGGCTTTTAAGGGGGACCACCGTAAGGGTCAGCGAACGCCCCCCGCGGTCCTACATAAGACGTCACGCCTTCCCCCCTCTGGTATACTGCTGAGAGCTTGCCCCATCTTGGTTCGAGCGTCACGCGAAAAGCGTGACGCGTCACGCGAAAAGCGTGACGCTTTTGTTGCATGTACCCTACAGACTTACTAGACACAAGGCGTCACGCTCTTCGCGTGACGCTCAAGAAAGGGCCTGCAGATGAAGGCCCCACCTTCAGATCATGAGGACCTTCGGACCCTCAGCTGAAGTCTTTCCGATCATGAGAGAGGACCCTCAAGGGAGAACCCTCACTCTGAGAGGGCTCGCCGATGAAGTCCTTCCGATCATGAGGACCTTCAAGGGAGAGCCCTCAATCTGAATAGAGGACACTCAGCTGAAGTCCTTCCGATCGTGAGGACCTTCAAGGGAGAGCCCTCAATCTGAATAGAGGGCACTCAGCTGAAGTCCTTCCGATCATGAGGACCTTCAAGGGAGAGCCCTCAATCTGAATAGAGAGCACCCAGCTGAAGTCTTTCCGATCATGACGACCCTCAAGGGAGAACCCTCACTCTGAAAGGGTCCTCAAATGAAGCAAGCGCGCGCTTCCGATCATGAGAGAGGACCTTCAAGGGAGAACCAACCCTCACTCTGAATAGAAGACACTCAGATGACCCCCAAGGGAGAGACCACCCCCAATCGAATCTGAGAGGGCCCCCCGATGAAGCTCTTCCGATCATGAGCGAGGACCTTCAAGGGAGAACCCTCACTCTGAGAGGGCCCCCAGATGAAGCTCTTCCGAGCATGAGAGAGGACCTTCAAGGGAGCGCCCTCCCTCTGAGAGGGCTCGCCGATGAAGCTCTTCCGATCATGAAGACCTTCAAGGGAGAGCCCTCAATCTGAATCGAGGGCACTCAGCTGAAGTCTTTCCGATCATGAGGACCCTCAAGGGAGAGCCTTCACTCTGAGAGGGCTCGCAGATGAAGTCCTTCCGATCGTGAGGACCTTCAAGAGAGAGCCCTCAGTCTGAAACTGAATAGAGGGCACTCAGCTGAAGCCTTTCCGATCATGAGGACCCTCAAGGGAGAGCCCTCGCTCTGCTCTGAGAGGGCTCGCAGATGAAGCCCTTCCGATCATGAGGACCTTCAAAGGAGAGCCCTCAATCTGAATAGAGGACACTCAGCCGAAGTCTTTCCGATCATGAGGACCCTCAAGGGAGAACTTCGGCCAGCGTCACGCTTACACACTGGCAAAGGGGCGCCTGGTCTGCATTGGATTCCCATGCGTCACACTAAAGAACGCACGCGGGAAAGACATCCGACCCCGATGAGATTCCCACGCGTCACGCTAGAGCGCACATCGTCAAAAAGCACCCAATCCCCCCGAGATTCCTATGCGTCACGCTAGAGCACGCATGGCGAAAAAACACCCAATCCCCCCAAGGTTCATATGCGTCACGCTAGAGGCGTGACGCGTGACGATCCGCGGGGGGCGTTCGCTGACTCTTACGGGGGACCACCTTCCCAGCTCGAAGAAGGTCGCACCTTTCAGGGAACTGCGGGGGCTGCGCGCCATCCGATGGCGGGGGCAAGTGCTCAGGCGCCAGCTTTGCGACCCGCAAACCAACGGGCGCACGATCGCGGACAGTCAAGGCTTCGAAAAGAGGCGGCTTTTGGAGAGGATCGCCTTCCCGACTTGAAGAGAGTCGCGCTTTTTAGGGCATTGCGAGGACTGCGCGCCATCCATTGGCGGAGGCAAGGCCTTCGGCATCAGTTTCGCGACAGGCAAACAAACGAGCCAGCGCACGATCGCGGACAGCCAAGGCTTCGAAAGGAGGCGGCTTCTTAACGGGGACACCCCCCCAGCTCGAAGACCGTCGCACTTTTTAGGCAAATTGCGAGGACTGCGCGCCATCTAATGGCGGAGGCAAAGTGCTAGGCATTACCTCCGCACGCAAAGAAGAACGCGCCGCGGAATCTAATGCGGGGCCTGCGCTGGCCTCGGCTGGGTTCTCAGTAGGAGGAGGAATCGGCGGAACCTACGGGGGACCCCATGCAAATCGCGAGGAAGTTACCGAGTGCCAGCCCCTTCTCTGCATTCGTTTCCCGCAGGCCCCTATCGCGGGCGGCCTCATCCTTAGCGCCCCTGTCTATCGGTTTGCGAGCGTGCCGCGCGTTCCGCTTTCGGGCCTCGCTGGCGGTACCTTGTGCCCCTTCGCGGTCTCACGTAAAAAAGGGCGCGAAGAAATCCAAAAGGGAACCGGAGCGCCGCTGTCCCTTAACGGTTTCGCTTCAGGTGTTCGCGGGGTGTGAAAACGATGACAAAAGGAACACCACAAGAGCAGACCACTGGCCGCCGATTAAGAGCCTGCCCGAATCCGTTGCGGCGTGGGACCGCCAAAGCATCCAGCGGCAAGCCGCGTTGCCGCTGCCTGCCTTGATGGCGCCGCATTCATGCCACCCCTGCGCAATGCCTTCGCGATATAGTGACCCCAACGCAGGACCATGGCGACAAGAGGCGCCCGCCTTGTGTCCTGGGATCCCTGCCCCGCGTGCCAACGTTGGCGCGCCAGCGGTTCCCCTCTGGGCCCGAATCTGAAAGCCATCGGCGAGACTATCCCAAGGAAATGAGCCAGGGCACTTGCCTACCTACAGGCATGCTAGGCCGTGCCTTGCCTTGAAGTCAGAGCGGCGATTTGCGCCCTTTTTGGCGCATGAAGATCCCAGCCCCGGAGTGCTCCTGCTGGCAATGAATCTGCGAAACTTTCGCCACTTTTCCAAGTGGCGCGCTGGTGGTTTCCGTCTCTCTTGTTTTGGTATTTTCCTCCACTGGTTCTTGCCTATCTGCTGACACTTGACCAAGACGAAAAAAACGCCAAGAGCTGCAGAAAAAACTGCAGAAGAGCGGGGGGGCTCTATGGTGATGCGAACGCGCAGCAGGTCGGCAGTCCCGGCTTGCGCGTGCGCAGGTCCATAAACAGACCAGCGGACCCGCAGGATGCTGAAAAAACCGAGAGCACGCCCAGCCTAGCGCCACAGGGGCGACGCGAGGAGGCACGAGAACGAAAACGAGGGAACGCAGCCGACGCGAAACCGACAAGCAGACGCCAGAAAAGCACAGAAAAGGAGAGAAGGCAACACGCGAAACCGGTAAGAAAATGGACGGCACAAGATCACGCCGCGGCCACGCCTTGAGCAAGACCGGGGGAAGCAAATGGAGGAAAAGGGGGCCAGGGAATCCAAAAGAGAACCGAAGCAGCGGCGTCCCTTAGCGGTTTCGCTTAAGAGTTTCGCGGGGATCCACTCGAAACCGATACCCGCACGAAGTTCGAAACTATTAAGGGGCAGAACTTAAGCAAGCCGAAACCGCTGAGG